TATGCATGCTTGTACTTTTCAGAGGTCCGATATTGTTCTATGTACAATCCTTGTTTTATGGATTGCATGTAATATTCTACTTTTTTGAGGTTGTGGATTTGGGGTTCTTGGGGTTTTCATGAGCTGTAAGCCATAATCATCACAATTATGACAAATCACGGCTTGAATTATCTTGCTTTGCATGTAATGAGTCTCTCTCATATATTAGTTTCACCTTTTAAGTTGCATTAGTGAAATAAATGAACTTTGCACGATATTCTAATTATTCGAGTTTCACCTGTATGTATGTATATATATATATCAAACTCTCCAGTTCCTTGTTAACCCCTGCATGAGAGTTACTTTTTCATTACAATATCCGCTTTTCTATGTACAGCGTTTACATGATTTATTGCCCTGCATTCAGCCTGGGAATGGAATGACTTGGTACATATAGTAGAGTGCTGTCATCCAGGTCGGAGCATCACTGGCAAGGACCTGGTGGTCATTTTAGGGCAATAACAAATGTTTCCAGCCTTTTACATAATGAGGTGTTTGAGTATGCCTCAGTCACTTACATTTCTTGCAGGGAACACATTGGAGCGTGTGTTGGGGGGTTTTACGTCATTTTCAGACCTAAAATGTGGAATATAACATGGGTGCAAAAATTGAAAAAAGGGCCTCAGTCATGAAGGGGTTAAACACACATTGCTCAAGTCTCAAAGTATTTCATGACAGGTCTCAGTGGGGGGCGGCAGTGGATTTCAGGAAGGGCGCATGTTTCACTGCTTGCCATTCTCTTCATGTCTGTGCCAGTCACAGAGCACCCATAGACATAGAATGAGTGATAATCCTTGTGTCTCTTGGTAGGGGCAGACAACTTTGTTTGGGGGGACTAGTTTGCATCTAATTGCTGCTGGTTCTGCTGTGATAAAAGCGGTGCTGAGAATGTCTGGAGAATATGACAATTACTGGCAGAGAATATTCAGCTGTTGGAGTTCTGATTTACAGGACAATCTTATGTGTGAGGAGGTGATGACACTCATTCCACAAAGCAGGTTGTGCAGTAGTTTTCCATCTGGCCAGGTGTAGATTCTGGGCGGGGAGGAAGAACAAGTCCCATTTCTGGGGAGGAGCTGCAGGCATCAAGGAGCTAGAAATAGGACCAGCAGACTGATACTGAGCACAGGGCTTTGGAAGGTTTTCCTGTACTGACTCAAGATGTCAAGGTGTGAGGAGTACGGCAGCTAACATTGGCTTCTTGTTGGGACAGCCAACCACCTCTAAAGCTCTTGCATCTAGAAGATCCCGTGGGCACTTCCTTTCGCTGGTTTCCAGTCTTTGTGGGTTTTTTTCCAGAGCGGCAGATTTCTGCACCTATAACTGTAAAGAATGGGTAGCAAGGTACGTTATAACCCCACTCACAAAATCAAAGACTCCTGTCATTCCACTGTGTCTTTATATGATGGACAATGCTAACAAGTCAGGAGAAGAAAAGTTTACCTGTGGTCACATTTCTGTCCTTGGGGAATGCTCATGTTAGTGACATTGGAAAATGCCTTTCATCTTCTTCTTATGACTGATGTAGGTAGCAGAATAGAAGCATCAGGCAGAGAAGCTTGCACCAACACGGGCACATTGTATATCATTAGTACACTATGAATGCAGGTTTTATATGTGGCCAGAGATGCGGTCACACTGCCTTTCTGTGGGTGGTAGTGCAGAGGATTTGGGTGGAATAACTGTGCATTGTATTTCAGGGTTTACACACATTCTCTAATATAGAAAAACAGTGAATGTTTCTTTTTTCCACACTTGATACAATAAATACTCAAGGAATGTGTCCATGACATGCACTTTGTTGTTTCTAGTTTATGTCTGGAAACAAAGTATATATTGGAGAGAGATCATGTATGTCTGGATATTATTGCTATAAGTACAAGTAAATTGCGATCCAGATTTTGCTGCTGATTGGTTCCTAATTACTGAGGTGTATGATGAAAGGTAATAGAATGTGTGGGGAAGCCTCTGAGTCTGTCAGGTGTGATTAGGGGACCGGAGCACCCGCCAGGACATGAGCAGCTTCCCAGGGGTGCCATTTTATTGATGTGTGAAATCATTCTCCATCTACTTTTTATTCTGCAGGGAGATTCTGATGTGTACTCTACGGAAATATATGGCGCAAAGGATAATGAAGAAGACAATTCCAAGAATTCAAAGAACCAAAAGAAGAATAAAAAGAAGAAGGGAAAACAAGTTGATGATCTTAAGCAGGAACTGGAGCTGGTGAGGAATTCTCAGGAAACTGGGTTTTGTATAAATTCTATTAGAAAATACTTTTCTGGAACAATATAAAATAAGCTCTGTGATCATACAAGTCCTGTTATGTAGCAGACAGTCTATAGCTTGCTGTAGATGAGTCAAGGTATAACCCAGAGGAGCCCGATCTTCACCTCCAGCTCTGTGTGGTCTCCCAGTTCTAGTCCATAGTCCAGTAAAGCCGGGTACACACACTCAGATTTTATACAGATAAATCTGGTCAGAACATTTCATAATGCCATCAGAGACTCGTTACACATTTGATTTTAACATTTGATTTTGGAATGGATGAAGTTTCCTGAACAGAAACCACATTCACTGCCAAAATATCATTCATTCAAGAAAAATTTCCAATCTGCTCCTTCAATTTTTTTTAATCACTGCACACGAAAACGATAATGGGTTTGACCTCATTAACTATTAGGAAATGGAATGATGCTCCTAAAATTACCATTTTTAAACAAACCGTGTATACCCAGCTTAAGAGTACTTAGAACAGTAGATTTATCCAGAGCAGGTGAACTACAACTCCCAGAATCCCTAGCATGTAGCACTCCATATTAAGAGAATATGCCGTCAACCTGTTCTGTTACTGATGTTATTACGTAACACGGTATAATCCAAAGCACAATAGAGAGAAGGCGACACGGCACATTGTTTCATTCCTATCCATTGAGATGGTAGATTTGCATTGTGGATGCAAACATGTGAATTATCATATGTAATGAGTTTCTCTCTCATCTTCTAATCCGTTACATCTGCATACAGCTTATGTCATGGCACAAGGAGGGGCGAAGCCTTCTACCTGATCTATGCACATATTAGTCATAGGAGGAATTCTCATTATAATTCCCAGTGCTGTGATTGACATCTAATAATAGCCGTTCCTTCCTCATAATCTTATGGCAACCGGTATGACGAGAAGCTTTGCATCCTGGGAGAGGTTTGTGCTGCAGCCTTTTCCCCCCCAGTATATATACTGTACTGGTTCATACTGGTCAGGAGGCATGGTCTGATCTATGATGGGACTGTTTGCTCGCATACTCTATCACAGTCATTTCAGCTGTGCTATTCATTGACTAACAAGGTCTGTGTAAGTGGCGGCCTATTTACATTAGTGGGCGTTAAGTGGCCTCAGGATTAAAAGGTTCCATTGTCTCTCTGATGAAATGTATTCTTTAAATTGGATATTAAAGGGGCAGAATTGTCAGTTGTTTACCTTCAGATACTCTTGGTTGTCTTTTATTACGTTGTTATTGCCATGGTTATCTTGCATTAAAGTTAAGTGAACCTGTCGCATATGAAGCAAGATTCCAGTACTGTAGATCTGATTGGTACAATGTTGAATTCACGCTGTTGAGTGACTAGCAGAATAAAATCATCGGCTTTGACGCTGGGAGCTCCAATAATGCTGTGTCCAGAAGGGAATTGCGTATTACGGGGTAGCAGTGGTCTGGTCACTATTTCCTTCTATTAGTGAACTGTTGTCACATTGCTCTTCTGCTGGTAACAGATTTCCATTAATATTGCCCAGAATTCATTGTGACACCATTGTTAGGATGCCATGCTGAGGTGCTGGCTTCTCATACGTTTCCACCCAAGATGAGAATCTGCTGATTTTCTACAAAATATTAATTCAGGCGGAAGGCAATCTCTGGTATTTTCATTGAGTTTCATACTCATTGTTTTATTGTTTTTCAGGATGATCATAAACTTGGTATTGAAGAGCTGGAAGAAAAATATGAAACAAGTCTTCTCAAAGTGAGTAACAGAATAAGTTTTATACTCAGAGAGTCATAATTCACTATAAAAGTTCACAAGTTGGAAGACCTTCATGTGTAAAGTTCCCTCATATTGTGCCATATTGTGACACGTGCCAGCTATGTGCCACATCAATACTCTGTCCTACTTCTCCTGAGATAAAATCAGGAGCATGTAACCCCCATAACCTGCAATGTTCCCTCCACGCCGGGTATGGCGATGGTTAATCAGTACTCAGCACTGTGCTGAGAATTCTGCAGCCTGATCGTTCATATCAGAATGATTAGGAAAGGGATGAAATACATCGGGTTCTACAGATGGTTATCACCTAGTACACAGTGTTCAGAGTGGGGGGGTGGGGGGGGGTGTGCAGACACATGTTCTCCAGTCACCATTAACAGAACCGGTTGTGCAGAGTCCTGGGCTGCTCCTACCTGCTGCTTTCCTCTTACTACATCAGGGTTCGCTGGTAATTGCTGTTTGACACTTTCAGTCAAGGACATCGAGCCATTTAATCATTTTCCAATTAAGTTGATGTAATTACATTTCTTCTTCATACTGATTAACCACATATCAGTTAAAGGCTGCATTGAGGCTTGTGGTGGGAGGGTCTTTTGGCTTTGTGTCACCAGTGTGGTGGTGGTGATCACTTGTAGCCCAAAGAATAGGAGATGGGGCAATGGAATTGAGCTAGAACTACTGCAGCCATATCTCACAACAGCTTCAGGTTGATAATTTTAAGTGTGTGCATCAATTTACAATTTACAAGTGTATCTGGAGTTGCCCTTTAAGGAATATATATAACTGGCGTGTGTTTGTACACTTCTCTACTGTTCCTGTGTTAGATATTGGATCTCCTGGAAGGGCCATCTTCCAATGATATATGGTGGAAATGACTGTTGCTAAATTCTGTTTGTCCTCACAGGGTCTCACTTGTGAAAAAGCTGCAGAGATTCTGGCTCGTGATGGTCCCAACGCACTCACTCCCCCTAAGGGAACTCCTGAAATTGTCAAGTTTCTCAAGCAGATGATTGGAGGTTTCTCCCTTCTACTATGGGCTGGGGCAGTTCTCTGCTGGATCGCCTATGGAGTTCAGGCTGCTCAAGATCCCACAGTAGCCCGAGACAATGTAAGCATCATGCAGCAATAAAGTATACTTATTATGGGGATTGTAAGCCAGAGCTCAACTGTACTAAAGGTTTACGCACATAATTGTTCATTTTTCTGCTGCTGGAATGTAGAATTTCAGAGATTTGCAATTTATGACCAATGTTCTCTTCTGCCCCAGTTGTACCTTGGCATTGTGCTGGCTGCAGTTGTCTTCCTCACTGGCTGCTTCGCTTATTTCCAAGAAGCAAAGAGTACCAACATCATGGCCGGTTTCAATAAGATGATCCCACAGGTGAGTGCTAGTATATAGCCGAGCAGCTATTTTATACTTTGGTGGTAAAGTTCGCCCATGGTGCTCTAGGATACTATATAGCAAGCACAAAATGTCTGTCGTCATAATGTTCAGTCATGCGTCTGTCCGCAGTAAGGTGCTTTTGTGAATTGATATATTTGTGTGTTTGCAGCAAGCTATCGTCATCCGAGGCGGAGAGAAGCTGGAGGTCCCGGCCACTGAGCTTGCAGTGGGAGATGTGGTGGAAATCAAGGGTGGAGATCGAATACCAGCAGATCTCAGGCTTGTCTTTGCCCAGGGCTGCAAGGTAAGTTTCTACCATTGAGGTATACAAGGACTTTGTACCTTTGCCAATACTACGGACTTTAAATCATCTTCTTATTCTTAAAGGAGAACTATGAGGCGAGTGATTTTCACTCAACCTCATAGTTCGAGCCGACCTGTGACAATGAAACTGTAACACGTCGGCTCAATAGATCGGGAAGTGAGCGAACACATACCGTCGCTCGCTCACTCCTCGATCATCTCCCTGCAGAGAGACGTGACTGTCACTCACGGCTCCCTGCAGGGATTCCCCCCCTCCGATCCTCCATCGCTGACTGGCAGAACGGACGGGGGAGGGGGTGGGCACAGCGGGCTCTGCTTGTGGTATACTGAGCTTTGGGTGACGGAAGGACGCTAGTTGGTTTCCTCCCGTGACCCTTAGGAGAACTATGGTGGAAAAACACATACCCCATAGTTCTGCTTTAACAAGCAGTAAAAGAGCTAAAAACAAGCCCACAATCACTTCTATAGCTGCTTGTACTGTGCAGTCATTTCAACTCAAAGACTCTAAAAGTTGTGTTTCAGTTGGTTTCTGACAGCACAGGAACACCTGCTGTGTGTTTACATGAGAATACTGCCAAGATCTGCTCTCTATAGACAGTAGAGGCAATCAAGTTGTAATTTCAGTGTCTCTGTTGTGAACTTTGCAGCCACATGTCTCTACAATGTCTACAGCTACAGAAGTGAATGAGGGCTTATCCTAAAATGATTTTAATGCTTGCTTAGAATATGTGACTACTTTACTGTACATGGTCCGGGCACTCAACGGAGCCCGGGAAGCACGGCGGGGGTGTCCGGCGGGGGGGCGGCCCCTTCTTCGGGACACAGAAGTGATCTAGCGACAGGTAAGTCGCCAGAATCGCTTCTGTTGGAAAGCCGACAGTCGGCTTTACAAGTTTAAACAGAGTCCCGGCGGCTTTTGTTTAAACAGCCCCGATGCTGGCGACGTACACTGTACGTCGCCAGTGACGAAGGGGTTAACAGCCATTTGCAGTAAAAATGTTTATAGCTGACCTCATTTATCAGTATAAAATGACAGGATGGGTCAGTGAATTTCCTCTTTGTCTTGGGTTTCAGGTGGACAATTCCTCTCTGACAGGAGAGTCGGAGGCCCAGAGTCGATCCCCTGAATACACACATGAGAATCCTCTGGAAACTAAGAACATTGCCTTCTACTCCACCACCTGCCTGGAAGGTAATGACTGCCCCTGAGGCTGTAGGTGACACCAGAGTTACGTGTAAATACCTGCCCTACGGCCTAAAGAAGTGATTGAGATGATTACAGTTTTCACCTTACGCCAGCACTCATGTTCTCCTTTCTGTTCAGTGGCCAGATTTGGCATGCATATATGACCACCATGTAGTGTTTGCAGGCACCATCACAAAGTATTTCTTTTTTTTAACTTAGGTACAGCAAAAGGTTTTGTGATAAATACTGGAGATCGTACGATTATTGGCCGCATTGCTTCGTTGGCATCAGGAGTTGGAAATGAGAAGACCCCCATTGCTGTGGAGATTGAACACTTTGTGCACATTGTGGCGGGATTTGCTGTGTCTGTTGGTGTTTTATTTTTCATCATCGCAATGTGCATGGGATACTCTGTTCTTAATGCCATCATCTTTCTCATTGGGATCATTGTCGCCAATGTGCCTGAGGGCCTCCTGGCAACTGTGACCGTAAGTAGCTGCTGGTATATTCACTTAACTTGGGGTGAGCAGAGCTGGGCTATCCCTATGGATGTCTATACTGTAAAGGTGTATGAATTGTTTAAATGACGATGAGCTTTATTAGCCAAGATAGCCCAGACGTTGGTTATCCCATATTAGATTTCAGACCTCCATTCTGGTAAGATATTTAAGAACTCCTCCTTTTGTCTTTCAGGTAACTCTTTCTCTCACTGCAAAGCGCATGGCTAAGAAGAATTGTCTAGTGAAGAATCTGGAGGCTGTAGAGACTCTGGGCTCCACTTCCATCATCTGCTCCGATAAAACAGGAACCCTGACACAGAACAGAATGACTGTGGCTCACCTCTGGTTTGATGACCACATTCATTCAGCTGACACCAGTGAAAACCAAACACGTATGTGGATATATTCTATTTCCAATAAACACATTTGTTGTTCTTATTATATTTGCTACCATTTGGTAACCTGTCTTAGAAGAAATGATAGTTGGAATCTGGTTTACTCTACAGGCAGCACGTTTACACCCATAGGGCCAAGATGAGGATAGGTCTTAGCCTATAAAAACTTGTTTCATAAAATTAATGCAGAAATGTTTTATTTCTATAGATCATTCATTTGAACAGACGTCTGAAACTTGGACATCACTTTGTAGAATAGTCACTTTGTGTAACCGGGCTGAGTTCAAGGCTGGACAAGAGGACGTGCCCATTATGAAGGTATATATAGAATTTGCTGTTTATGTATATAGGGGGGGAATTAGACATTAAGGAACTTGTCTGAACTGATTTTAATACTGACTGGAGTCGCATTTAAAGTAGTATTTGGTACCTGCTGTGTCACTGTTAGGGTTTACTATGATGACTATCAGAGGGATGTCCAGCTACCAGTGCCGATACTTGGCATTTTCATGAGAACTACCGGGGTTGCAGAAGTTGCAGCTGGGACCGGGCTCTGGCGCTCCACCACTGTCCTGAAATCATTAGTCTGTATTGTTTTAGAAAAACTGTCACATGACAATAAACAAAAATGTATCAGTACTCGTATCTGTGAGGACTTGGGCAAATCAGTACTTGTAAAAGTGGTATCGGTCCATCACTTATGTATGCAGGCTGGCCAGCGCCTTGCCTGGATTTGTGGGAGTAGCCTTTCCCTTTAAGACGGCACGGCTTGCTGGGCTCCCACGTCGGCGGGTCACGAGCGTCCCCACCCGCTACCTCCCTCTTTTTCATTCAGACTACTGGGTATGCCCCCTTTTAGGCATACTGACCTGAGAAGGCCAAGGGGGGTGGGGGGGATGGTGTTAGGGTATCACTTACCTGGTCAGGCTCAGACCACAAATATATTTATAAAAACAAAACCATACATTAAAACAAAGATGTACAAATCCCAGGAGCTCCTTACACATGACAGCGGCCTCCTAACTTTTGCATTTTTCTCTAGGCTAGTCTTGAAGCTCGAAAACTATCTGTACTTGTACCGAGTATGGTACTTGGTATCTGAACATCCCTAATTATCACCATGATTCAACATTTTTTTTGTGTGCCGAGGGGGATGGCATCGATATCCCTTAGCAGTCATAATAGGGAATTTGTGAGTGAGGTCCTCATTGAAAGGTTTATCTAGAAGCGGTGTAAGTCCTACGATATAAACTTGCATCAAAAGAAATAACGTGTGCCTCTTCCTGCAGAAAACTGTGGTGGGAGATGCTTCAGAAACAGCCCTCCTGAAATTCTCTGAGGTCTTAACAGGGAATGTGATGAAGATTCGACGTGACAACAACAAGGTGTCTGAGATTCCTTTCAATTCCACCAACAAGTTTCAGGTATTAGGAGTTGAAATGCGTCTGCTGTCTCCACAGCTGGGCCGTTTGATCACATCAAGTAAAAGGCATGCGGTTGTGTTTGCAGCTTTCCATACATGAGACGGATGATCCCAATGACAAGAGGTTTCTGCTGGTCATGAAAGGTGCTCCAGAAAGAATCTTAGATCAATGTTCCACCATTATGATTGGTGGTAAGGAGCTCCCATTGGACGAATCCATGAAAGATGCCTTCCAGACAGCCTACATGGAGCTCGGAGGACTTGGAGAGAGAGTCTTGGGTGAGCACAGCAGCTTCTACTAGACGGCTGAATTGTCTATAGATTTACTTGTTGCTGTAAGCAGGGATTAATGGGCTTAATGAAACAAAGAGGAAAGCACCGAGTATAATGATCTGTAAGGTGCAGTCACTCATTTGATTTTAGTTTCCTGTAGTCACATCAGTGGAAGATGAAAATTTATTGGATCCTGTGCGTTGCTGCACATCGTAGGTCACTTTCTGTCTTATTGTATAACTATTGTTTGTCCCTGTGAGGTTCTGATTTTCTTATAGAAAGCCATTTGGCTGCAGCTCATCTCTGCTGTTTTCTGCCTCCAGGTTTCTGCCATCTTTATCTCCCAGAAGATGAATACCCCCCGTCCTACGCATTTGACACCGAATCCATTAACTTTCCAACCACTAATCTTTGCTTTGTTGGGCTCCTCTCTTTGATTGACCCACCTCGTTCCACAGTGCCAGATGCTGTCTCCAAGTGCCGGAGCGCCGGAATAAAAGTGCGTACCATAGTAGAGTTTTCAGTAGTAGATATTTGCTGAATTGGGTGACTGATGGCACTTAATTTGTATTTTTATTCCTTTTAGGTTATAATGGTAACAGGTGACCACCCAATCACAGCAAAAGCTATAGCTAGAAGCGTTGGTATCATCTCAGCTGGAAGTGAAACTGTGGACGATATTGCCAAGCGACTTAACGTTCCTGTTGAACAGGTTAATAAGCGGTAAGAGGACAATCTGCTGTTCATGAAGGATTGTGAAGATCTTCTACTGTGAATAACATAGTAGCTGTTGCTCCGATAAATGATAGTGTTGCCAAATCGTTCTTTTCCTTTCATTGCAGTGATGCAAAGGCAGCCGTGGTGAATGGCGGAGAGCTGAAGGACATGAGTTTGGAAGAACTGGATGATATCTTGGCCAATCACTCAGAGATTGTGTTTGCGCGGACGTCACCTCAGCAGAAGCTCATTATAGTGGAAGGATGTCAGAGACAGGTCAGTGTGGCTCATTTCTGCAGGTCTCAGTGGAATTCAAGTAGAAGGGCCAGTTCCACATTTCCTGTAATCACACATCAGGCTGGGCTCAACGTTGGCTGGACTTATCACCCATGGTTGTCCCTTGATTATTTGCTAGGCTTTGCTGCACACAGGAAACAACAGAGTGTTGCATGTAGTTGTGATCAGTGGCATAGCGACCCAGGCGGCCGCTATGGGGTCCAGGGCACAGTGGGGCCTGGCCAGATGCCGTGCGGGCCGCCTGGGTCACTATGGGATCCTCTGCTGGCGGCTGAAGATGAACACGCCGCTGTTCAGATCACTCACAGTAATCTGTGCAGCAGCGCGTTCCTCTCCAGAGTCAATGAGAGCCAGCAGCGGCGGTGGAGCAGGCTGGACCCGGCAGTGGAGCAGGAGGCCGGGCCGGTGGTCGGCAGCAAGGGAGGCGGGGCCCGAGGATGAAGAGGAGGCGGACAGGTAAGGAGTGGGACCAGCCCACCTTAGGGTGACCCTGCAGAGCAAACCATAGACTCTCTATGGTGGGCTCTGCAGGGTCACCCTCAGGTGGGATCTCGAGTGGGCTCTGCAAGGGGTATAACTAGAAATCACGGGGCCCCCTACAAAATTTTGCTATGGGGCCCCGTGATTTCTAGTTACGCCCCTGGTTGTGATTAATAGCTTATAGTAGCATGGTGCTCCAAGTCTGTGTAATCGATTGCTTCTGAATGCAACTGCAATCATAGGCGATAGATGACTATAGCAAACATTGCCTATGTGCTCCCAGCCTCGGGCACCCTGCAAATGCAATAACAACTTTATTATTATTACAGGTATTTATATAGCCAACAATTTACACAGTGCTTTACATAGTTGCACATTCACATCAGTCCCTACCCTCATGTAGCTTACAATCTAAGTTCCCTATCTCACATACATACATACATACATATGAGGGCCAATTTAGACAGGAGCCAATTTGACCTACCAGCATGTCTTTGGAGTGTGGGAGGGAACATGCAGATAGTGACCTGGCTGGGATTTATTGTTATAATGTCTAAGTATTTGGCAGGAACATCACTCACTATAGTAGTGCTGCAATCTAATGGAATTGTATGTATTCCAGAACTTTGTGGTTGCTGTGACTGGTGATGGTGTGAATGATTCTCCAGCTCTGAAGAAGGCGGATATAGGCATCGCTATGGGTATTGCTGGCTCAGACGCTGCCAAAAATGCTGCGGACATGATCTTATTGGATGATAATTTTGCCTCTATTGTTACTGGAGTGGAAGAAGGTGAGCAGAAATACACATTAGGACATTACTGAAGATTTGAATGTTCCCCATTATCTGAACATCAAACGCATAATAGAGATGCATACAAGCTTTGCTAAGGGGACAATACTGTAATACTCCAAGTGTCTCAAGAATGTTTTTTTCATTTTTTTCAGGGCGTTTGATCTTTGACAACATTAAAAAATCCATTGGTTACACCTTGACCAAAAATATTGCTGAGCTGTGCCCATTCCTGATATACATTATTGCCAGTATCCCTATGCCAATCGGCACCATCACCATCCTGTTCATTGACCTGGGGACAGACATTGTAAGTAACCATAACAGATGATGCAGACATTGAATTAGGACTGAAGAATTTCTTTTGTATTTGTTTCACTTGTAACAGTCCAGCCAATGCAAAGTAAAGCATCATCTAATGTATGTGTTGTTTTCTAGCAATGTAACATCACACTATTACACATTACTTAAAGCTGAACTCCGGGATATGCAAATATTCTCTAAATACAAGAGTCATGTGTATTCTTCCTGACTCTTGGTGAGCTTTGTGTATTTCTTCCAGATCTGTGCCGTAACCTGGAGTTCAGCTTTAAGGCCTCATTCACACTGCTGCGCATATACGCGCGTATAGTACCATATGCAAATAAATGGCTCCATACACATAGCTGCGTATGGAGCCGTATATTTGCGTAGAGTAAAATTGTGCAAAAACAGAATGGAACTGAGATGCGTCCGGGCAGCTTATTTCTGCGTACTTACGCGCGTACAGTTCATTAACATTTCTATTACGAATGATGCATTGTGGGATTGCAAATAGTGCACGCATATACGCACATGTATGCGTATATACGTAATATACAATTTTGCTCTTGCGTTGTGTGTGAATGAGGCCTAACAGACAGACTGGAAGCTGATTATCTATCTATCTATCTTTCTATCTATCTTTCTATCTACCATGTACATCAGCATCTAATCCTGTCATACCTCCACAGATTCCATCGGTTTCATTTGCCTACGAGAAAGCAGAGAGAGATATTATGAACAGAAAGCCGCGTAGGAAGAATGTGGACCGATTGGTGAATTATCAGCTGGCTACATACGCCTATATACAGATCGGTATGTATATGTCTGCCTGCCATACAGAATAAAGCAGGGAGTGTCACCACAGCTCACCAAGCATAAACAAGAGACATTGGCATAGCCCAGAGCAACCAGTCAGATATTTCCTAATCAATGTCATTATAATGAAAGCTGGAATTTGATTAGCTGCTGCAGCAAATACCCCAATTTTGCTTTTTGAAGTCAGGAAATGTAATTGCTGATTTACCGTCTTTGTTCACAGGGATCATCCAGTCTGTTGGAGCGTTTCTGACTTACTTCACAGTCATGGCTGAACAGGGCTATCTGCCCTACACACTTATTGGTATACGTGTTCCCTGGGAAAGTGTAAATGTTCAGGATTTGGAAGACAGCTATGGACAAGAATGGGTAAGTTATTATTACGGTGGAGCTCATTATGTGTGAAACTATTTCTTTTTTACATTTACAAAAAGAAAAGGTTGCAAAGGCAAGGCTAACAAATCTCTTTAGATCCTGCTACAATAATCATCTAACCTGTACCTGGAGGATCAGAGAGTTCTGAAAGTCTTGCTCTCCAGCCAGAATAGCTGATGTACTGTATATTGGACACATCTTAACCCAGTGCTGGGGAGTTAGAGGAGCATTGTTATGAGGCCTCTATAAATATATATATTTCAAAGCAAAATAATGACAATGTACAAGAGTAGCAGCTGTATGAAACACAGGCTCATATCACCATAGATCTCTGTACAGCGCACATATTACAGCAACTTATATACTTCAAAGTACAGCGCCATGCTTCCAGTTCTCCTCCATTATGCGTGTCTCATATCACAGCAGACCTTCTTCCAATCTTCCTCTTATCGCGTGTGTCTCATATCACAGCAGACCTTCTTCCAATCTTCCTCTTATCGTGCGTGTCTCATATCTCTGCAGACCTTCTTCCAACCTCCTCTTATCGTGTGCGTGTCTCATATCACTTGCAGACCTTCTTCCAATCTTCCTCTTATCGTGCGTGTCTCATATCACTGCAGACCTTCTTCCAACCTCCTCTTATCATGTGTGTGTCTCATATCTCTGCAGACCTTCTTCCAACCTCCTCTTATCATGTGTGTCTCATATCACAGCAGACCTTCTTCCAATCTTCCTCTTATCGTGCGTGTCTCATATCTCTGCAGACCTTCTTCCAACCATCCTCTTATCGTGTGTGTCTCATATCACAGCAGACCTTCTTCCAATCTTCCTCTTATCGTGCGTGTCTCATATCTCTGCAGACCTTCTTCCAACCATCCTCTTATCGTGTGTGTCTCATATCACAGCAGACCTTCTTCCAATCTTCCTCTTATCGTGCGTGTCTCATATCTCTGCAGACCTTCTTCCAACCATCCTCTTATCGTGTGTGTCTCATATCACAGCAGACCTTCTTCCAATCTTCCTCTTATCGTGCGTGTCTCATATCTCTGCAGACCTTCTTCCAACCATCCTCTTATCGTGTGTGTCTCATATCACAGCAGACCTTCTTCCAATCTTCCTCTTATCGTGCGTGTCTCATATCTCTGCAGACCTTCTTCCAACCATCCTCTTATCGTGTGTGTCTCATATCACAGCAGACCTTCTTCCAATCTTCCTCTTATCGTGCGTGTCTCATATCTCTGCAGACCTTCTTCCAACCATCCTCTTATCGTGTGTGTCTCATATCACAGCAGACCTTCTTCCAATCTTCCTCTTATCGTGCGTGTCTCATATCTCTGCAGACCTTCTTCCAACCATCCTCTTATCGTGTGTGTCTCATATCACAGCAGACCTTCTTCCAATCTTCCTCTTATCGTGCGTGTCTCATATCTCTGCAGACCTTCTTCCAACCATCCTCTTATCGTGTGTGTCTCATATCACAGCAGACCTTCTTCCAATCTTCCTCTTATCGTGCGTGTCTCATATCTCTGCAGACCTTCTTCCAACCATCCTCTTATCGTGTGTGTCTCATATCACAGCAGACCTTCTTCCAATCTTCCTCTTATCGTGCGTGTCTCATATCTCTGCAGACCTTCTTCCAACCATCCTCTTATCGTGTGTGTCTCATATCACAGCAGACCTTCTTCCAATCTTCCTCTTATCGTGCGTGTCTCATATCTCTGCAGACCTTCTTCCAACCATCCTCTTATCGTGTGTGTCTCATATCACAGCAGACCTTCTTCCAATCTTCCTCTTATCGTGCGTGTCTCATATCTCTGCAGACCTTCTTCCAACCATCCTCTTATCGTGTGTGTCTCATATCACAGCAGACCTTCTTCCAATCTTCCTCTTATCGTGCGTGTCTCATATCTCTGCAGACCTTCTTCCAACCATCCTCTTATCGTGTGTGTCTCATATCACAGCAGACCTTCTTCCAATCTTCCTCTTATCGTGCGTGTCTCATATCTCTGCAGACCTTCTTCCAACCATCCTCTTATCGTGTGTGTCTCATATCACAGCAGACCTTCTTCCAATCTTCCTCTTATCGTGCGTGTCTCATATCTCTGCAGACCTTCTTCCAACCATCCTCTTATCGTGTGTGTCTCATATCACAGCAGACCTTCTTCCAATCTTCCTCTTATCGTGCGTGTCTCATATCTCTGCAGACCTTCTTCCAACCATCCTCTTATCGTGTGTGTCTCATATCACAGCAGACCTTCTTCCAATCTTCCTCTTATCGTGCGTGTCTCATATCTCTGCAGACCTTCTTCCAACCATCCTCTTATCGTGTGTGTCTCATATCACAGCAGACCTTCTTCCAATCTTCCTCTTATCGTGCGTGTCTCATATCTCTGCAGACCTTCTTCCAACCATCCTCTTATCGTGTGTGTCTCATATCACAGCAGACCTTCTTCCAATCTTCCTCTTATCGTGCGTGTCTCATATCTCTGCAGACCTTCTTCCAACCATCCTCTTATCGTGTGTGTCTCATATCACAGCAGACCTTCTTCCAATCTTCCTCTTATCGTGCGTGTCTCATATCTCTGCAGACCTTCTTCCAACCATCCTCTTATCGTGTGTGTCTCATATCACAGCAGACCTTCTTCCAATCTTCCTCTTATCGTGCGTGTCTCATATCTCTGCAGACCTTCTTCCAACCATCCTCTTATCGTGTGTGTCTCATATCACAGCAGACCTTCTTCCAATCTTCCTCTTATCGTGCGTGTCTCATATCTCTGCAGACCTTCTTCCAACCATCCTCTTATCGTGTGTGTCTCATATCACAGCAGACCTTCTTCCAATCTTCCTCTTATCGTGCGTGTCTCATATCTCTGCAGACCTTCTTCCAACCATCCTCTTATCGTGTGTGTCTCATATCACAGCAGACCTTCTTCCAATCTTCCTCTTATCGTGCGTGTCTCATATCTCTGCAGACCTTCTTCCAACCATCCTCTTATCGTGTGTGTCTCATATCACAGCAGACCTTCTTCCAATCTTCCTCTTATCGTGCGTGTCTCATATCTCTGCAGACCTTCTTCCAACCATCCTCTTATCGTGTGTGTCTCATATCACAGCAGACCTTCTTCCAATCTTCCTCTTATCGTGCGTGTCTCATATCTCTGCAGACCTTCTTCGAACCTTCCTCTTATCATATGTGTCTCATATCTCTGGAGACCTTCTTCCAACCTCCTCTTATCATGTGTGTCTCATATCTCTGCAGACCTTCTTCCAACGTGCCTTCTTGGAGTGGACAGGATATACGGCTTTCTTTGTCAGTGTTGTGGTGGAGCAGCTGGCAGATCTGATCATCAGAAAGACTCGAAGAAACTCTCTCTTCCAGCAAGGCTTCTTTGGGTAAGTGAGGAGGTCAATAATATTGGTAAAAGGTGAGCAGTGTTGTCACATGAGCGGGCTATGGCATGTATGGGCTTCTCTGCATCACTTACGGTTTTTGTCTAAATATTCCAAGTACATTTCAAAAATCCGTTCTTTTTCTTTTTTCTCCTCCTGCAGTAATAAATTTCTCCTGCTGGGACTGATTTCACAGATCCTCATAGCGGTGTTCCTGTCCTACTGTCCCGAGATGCCGTATGCCTTGAAGTTTACACCGCTCAGGTGAGATGCCAGTTGGAGCCCTTTTCTGTCATATCTTTTTGTCTAAGGGAAGAAAGGTCTTTAAAATGCTGTCACTGCCACCAACAAAATTACCATGCTAGTTACTGCAAAAAGAGGATTC